ACAATAGTCATTCTTAGGATCAGGTACCATAGTGGTCCTGTATTAATACGTCATTGATGAGGAACACAGCCATCCGTCGCCCACATTTGACGATCTTCTGGCGGCAAGTTATTGGAAAAGCTCTTCACATCTCAGTTCCTTCCCTATTCCGTGTGATTTCAGTTGCCATGGTGGTGGGGATGATTCCTTTCTGATGTTGACACCATGTGGTTTGTCAACTTGCGTCACTCTGATGTCTCGGTTTCATTACCTAGTTCAGAATCTTCACGCCACCTGCCACCGTCACCATCTCGATTCTCGTCAGCTTTCGAGATCTCTTCTGATGTCGAGTCAAGATAGCTTCCCGCTGACGAACAACAAGTAATTACCCCCTAATGACCGCTGCGTTTCCATGTCATATGGGGCCAAATGAGTCAGGCTATATTTAGTCTCTCAGTGTTTTGTAACCAAGCGTCGCAGGACACGACTCCAGTCCGGCAGATGGCCGGTTTGAGTTCACTGTTCCGAGCGTCTTGAGCGAAAGCAATTATATCACTGGAGTATATGAGCCAAACAATGGGCAGAGACAACGACTTTCGGTTATGACGACTATTCAGATCTATTCTGTACAAAGACTGCGGGACAGATCTAACGGACTTAAAAGTAGCTCATAGATTATAAACTAAGCAACTGCGTCATATCCAAGGTTATCCATACAGCTGAAGGACACATTAGGGCAGTTTTTACCGTTCAGTAAATAAAACAAAGGAATAGAGGATAATCTTGTAGCAAATCTCCTTCAACACTGAATAGGTTAAAGGATTTAATTTGGGATCCGTATTCAAGTACTCTGCGTTATCAACAACAGTGCGTTGCTTGTTGATCATCTGGCTTAAAATAAGCCTCTTTTCTCAATTATCTGGATAGAGTTCTGGACAGATTATGAAGTTATTGTTTGGGGAGAATTTGGTAAATAATCGGTGGGTTTATAGCCGGGCAACGGTACATTTTCAATACAACAGTGTAAAACCTTTTTGTCAAAAAAGAAACGTGGCCTAGCAATAAATCCGCCGATCGGTTACCCAAACCCTCTGAAACGAAGCATCTTTTTTCACAATTATATTCTAACACAAGATATAGTAAGCAATACTTTCATCCATATGGTCACGTGAAAGTGCATGCATAGAGTATAACTGGAAAGTTTCCATGAGGTTTCTAAAAGCCAGATAGGTCTTACTTATTTGGAAAATGTTTGGGACCGATTGGGTAGTCATCGTTTCAGAGAGATTTGCAAACCACCGGTGGATTTAATGCTGGGCAACGTAGAGCTTTTGACACAAGCGTGTCGTCTCAACAATGATTTTCAGTCTGCACTCTCGCCTGCTGAATTCGAACTACTAGATACCAAAGCGAAGGAAGTGAAATCAAGACAAGGTAAACAGTGCAGGGATAAACAAATACGTAAGTTCGAGAAATTGCTTACCACGACTCGCTGTTCTAGTAACCCAATAGAGAAGAGTAAATCATTTGATAGCTATTGAAGGGTAGTCAGTTTATCAGATAGACTCAAGTGAAGAACGTTGGCTCTTAGAGAAGGGATTGAATTTTGCAGTAAGTGAAAGAGTTATAAGGACAAAATAGATCATTCCTAGTGTTGAGTCTGTGTTTCAGAAGTTTCCTGCACTGGAAGCGGAAAAATTAAGTGTACAATTGGTCACAGTCCTGAACTCTCAGCAATCAGGGGTTCTAAACATTGCGCCAGCTGAGCGAAGAGCCTTTAACAATTTAAAAAAAAATGTAGACAGAGTAGTAACGGGACGATTACAATAATGAATTGAGAGTAAAGTTGAAGTTGGTAGGTATCTAAGATCGGTGATAAACCATCTGGGGCAGGGCAAGTGGTATCGATTGTACCCAAAAAGTGCAATCCAGTAATGACTTTACTAGTTACCGAAAATTCACCAGGAAGCTGTCCCCACAAGACCAACAGTAGATGGCATGAGTTCCCCACCGCATGAGCTGGTCAGGTTTCTAGCAGGTATCCTTAAACCAATTGCCGGTAAGTCACCCACACATCCGAAATTCGTATGGCTGATGAAAAAAGTAGCGAGTTTTAGTTAGAGCTATACGAAGTTCTGGCTAGCTTTGATGTCAGCTAGATATATGCCAATGTCCCCAAAGTGAACGCCGTGGAAGTATCGAGAAGGCTTTTACTGTTAGACACAACGCTGCAAGAACAAACGCAACTCTCCGTAGACGAGATGGTTGAAGGCATAGAGGTATGCCTATACCTCAGTCATTTTGTTTTCGATTCAATTATATACTCTCAAGAACAAGGTTACTTGCAGACCAACGTTGCTAGCACGAATGCAACTCTCCGTACTTAGGATTGTTGAAGGCACATAAGCATGTATTAACCTCAGTCACTTTGTTTGTTACTCAATTGTATACCCTCAAGAACAAGGTCCGGCGACCAAAATCCCCGATTTTGGACATGTACGTGGAAGATTTTGAAAAGAAAGCTTTCAACGGATTCGAGTTTCCACCACTAGTTTTCTGGCGTTACGTAGATGACATGTTCGTTGTGATAAAGCGGGATAAGATAAACGAACTCCTCCAATATCTTGACACTTTGGGCCCTCAAATTAAGTTTGGCATGGAGCTAGAGTCCACATCAGGTGCACTGCCTTTCATTGACTGCATGACATGCATGAGTGGGGGGAATTAAAGACCACTGTATACCGGAAATCAACAGATGGTGGTACGGTCTTAAACTACTCCTCAGAACATGCAAAAGCAATATGTGTTAGTATGGTTTTAATGATGTTTAAGAGAGTAAGAGCACTGTGCACAAATCGTTGTTTACCGGAAATCAACAGATAGTGATGCGGTTTTATACTATTCCTTAGCACACCCAAAAGCAGTATACGCTAGTATAGTTTCAACTATATTGAGTAGAGTAAGAAAACTGTACACAGAAGAGGTTTGTCGAAAAGCAGCACAAATTGAAGTAAAAAAGCTGCTTCTAGATAGAAAGAAGTCGATCGAAAAGCAGCACAAAATCAGGTAAAAAACTACTTCAAGATAGCATATACCCAGTGGGTTTATTATGCATCTACTAAGACGAGTATTGGTGCCAACAAGGAGTGGATTGGAGCAGCAGTCATTTCATACAAAGCAGAAATATCTGAATTCATTAGAAGGGTGCTGAACATGGCTAACATTAGAGTAGCTTTCCAGAAGGGAATGCATTTGAAGGATCACTTTCCGGTTTATAGGACTAGGAACTGTGTATACAAAATAAAATGCAACGACTGTACGAAGGTTTATATAGGTCAGACAACCAAGGAATTGCACGCCAGAATCGATGAGCATAAGCGATCCATTACCAGACCACCGAGAAACGTAGATGAATATCAGTCAAAGATTTGGCTATGACAAGGCATGCACTAGATACTCGGTATAGGATGGGTTTGTATATTCTAGGACGGGGTCTAAGATATATAACCACAGCAACTGTTGGCTAAAGCGGTGAAAATCGCCAAGCCCCTCAGCATGAATAAAATAGAGGGCGCAGAACTTGAAAGCGTGTGGAGGGCGACTTTAGATCAGCTGAGATGACACGAGGCGGAGTGAAGTCATCAGCAAAATGGTCTAGGTGTAAAAGTACAAAATCCAAGTAGAGTAAGATCCGATTAACCACCCCCACTCCCATCCAAAAAACAATTGTCCCTGCACCCCTCAACGAACACAGGTGAACAAAATCTGTGAACGACCTCAAGAGGAATACTCCATTTGGGTGTCCAGGACAGAAAAAGCAGTCGCAAAACCTATCGTGAATGTTAGTCATCCCCACTAACCAACAAACAGTAACATCAGACTGACACGCAGCACTAACCAAATCAGCTAGTCATAAGAAATCCCAATCAATTTACTTACTCCCTTGGCCTGACGAAGCTTTTGTGTTAAAAGCAAAACGTTGCTTAGCAATAAGTGTCCACCAATTGTTCACCAAACCTAGCTGAAACGAAGGTCTTACTTAGCCCCAATCTCACTTGAACTGCATCTTGTCCTGGTTGTTCAGTTCCCAATCATCTGGTCGTTGCACGAATCGTCGAATCTTTCAGACCGAGAAACATGAATATCAGTCAAAGATTTGGCTATGACAAGGCATGCACTAGATACTCGGTATAGGATGGGTTTGGATATTCTAGGACGGGGTCTAAGATATATAACCACAGCAACTGTTGGCTAAAGCGGTGAAAATCGCCAAGCCCCTCAGCATGAATAAAATAGAGGGCGCAGAACTTGAAAGCGTGTGGAGGGCGACTTTAGATCAGCTGAGATGACACGAGGCGGAGTGAAGTCATCAGCAAAATGGTCTAGGTGTAAAAGTACAGCTAACACTTGAGTAGCATTCCAGAAGGGAAGAAGCTCGGTGCAGCTGAAGGATCACCTTCCTGTTCATAGGACTAGGAACTGTCTTTGCAAAATGTAGTGACTGTACAAAGGTTTATATAGGTCAGACTATTAACCACCCCCACTCCCATCCAAAAAACAATTGTCCCTGCACCCCTCAACGAACACAGGTGAACAAAATCTGTGAACGACCTCAAGAGGAATACTCCATTTGGGTGTCCAGGACAGAAAAAGCAGTCGCAAAACCTATCGTGAATGTTAGTCATCCCCACTAACCAACAAACAGGAACATCAGACTGACACGCAGCACTAACCAAATCAGCTAGTCATAAGAAATCCCAATCAATTTACTTACTCCCTTGGCCTGACGAAGCTTTTGTGTTAAAAGCAAAACGTTGCTTAGCAATAAGTGTCCACCAATTGTTCACCAAACCTAGCTGAAACGAAGGTCTTACTTAGCCCCAATCTCACTTGAACTGCATCTTGTCCTGGTTGTTCAGTTCCCAATCATCTGGTCGTTGCACGAATCGTCGAATCTTTCAGATGTAGCACCTTTTTGAAGCCTAGTTACATGATGGAGGAAAGCGGAAAGGGGGGTTGACATGTTCAAGCCTAGACAGAAGCAGTTGGGAAGCCAAGGCTGGGTTCGTAAAAGGGCTCATACCGAACGCGATAGTCTGTTGCCCTTCATCGCCTCGATCTATCCAGTGACTCCAGCACAACTAAGAGACTCTACTCTGATCGTACTCACGCCACACTCCCGGTAGGACAATGACACAGATATAAATGACCCATAATTTTGTTGCCCCTGAAGACGTTCGACAGGGACCACGATTATAGGGTCATTTGTACTCTTGAACTCTGGGGCGGCTAGTAGCGTGGGAATAGCTCTCCGGAAACTTCAACCCTGGAATCCAACAAGAATGAGCACTCGTTTCGATCGTACTGAATTTTGTGATGATTAAGAGAGCGCTAAAAGGTCTTCGAAGTCATTCGCCGACGGAACCTGGAATATGCAGACGGTACTACTGTCATCCCAGAAGAAAATAACGTCAGCGATGTTTCTTTGGATGAGCTGAGAACGTGATTTCTCCTTTTGATATGTGACTTTTACCCATCAAGTTAACGTGTTTGATTCTGAATATGCAGTTGCCGCCAACTTGCATTCCTACAACCTGAGATGGCTGAAAGTTGTATTAATTTCGGAGCTCGTGAGACGAATGGTATCAGTACGCTAACTTCTGAGGCTTCAATTAAACTTCCTAATTTGTGGTAACCATTACGACACAAAGACCGAGTTTCCTAATCTAAATGGACATGTATATCAGACTACGGTAGCAGCTGTTCAGTTTGACTGTGAGACGTGGTCTTCATTAGCAACGGAAATGGCACGTCCCCATAGCCTTGACAGATACTGTCTTGTAGATACAGCCAGTGTAAGCTAATACCGACGAATCCGCTACGACAAAATTACCAAACGGGCACCTGGCTAGCTACAGGTAATTCAGTCGAATAATTTATTCCATATCAAATTCTACGGTGGCATGTTACTCAGTCTCGTATGTTCAATAGTCGCTTAAAGATAATATAGTTGCCTTCTTTGCCTGATTCAGGGTTGATGAATTAGGGTTATGATCAACCTCTGAAGTTACAAAAGGGTGAAACAGTGACTATGAAAAGTCTGGGTATTGTCGGCACCAGCCACCATCCAACATGGGATGCTTGTGGCTCTTCTTGTACTCGGCTATTTATGCTGTTAGGTATGGCTGATAATTACTGGCCTGCTGATAATTACTGCCCGATCTTTGGAAAACCACCTAATTGTTAACGTGTGGCCTTACCAATAACTGTTTATCCCACTTGATTATATTTCCTTTTTTCTCAATACGTTTTAATGAATGTTCCTGAACTGAGTAACAGCCATTCTGTTAAAACAATATTTACATTGACTATTGGCATACCCATTCCGCTGTAGATGCAACTGCCTAGTTCACTCCGTCACCTCAGCTCTGGATTCTAAAACTAAAGGTGCACAATTGCTGGTCATTTCATACACTACTGCACTCAGCAACACTGACGGTGAACGATTACATTTTCTCTTCCTCAAAGCGCGGAAATTTCAAGACCTTGTCATGCTTATTCCCTTTGACAAAGTTGATTATGTGAAGGGCTTGTGTTAGAATTTTTGTGGAACATTGGTCATGGTTATTGTTATGGTTCGTGTTTTTAAACGTGAACTACCATGATTTACGCAGCCCCAACAATCCGTACATGCCTGAAGATTTGGATAGGTTCCACAGCCTACAGAAGGAAGGAGCAGTTGATATTAGGTCCACCCTACAACTGAAACCGATGTCCAAGACTCTAAGTAGTCTGAGATTACGGACCACACAAAGTGATCGATGACACTGATTCGAATCAAATTTCCCTGATCGGCATATGATACACTGCAAAACAAAGCACTGACCAACGAAAAGGCAAACAAGTTGAATTCGGTCTGACAAGACGGTGTGCGCAACTTGATTAAACAAAGCCACGTGCGTCTTTTCGTTACAAACTCAACCTGACAACTATCGGGCACAAGTTTAACCAGCCCTAATCAGCACCAGCACGCGTCGACCTCATTTCTTAACTGTCAAGCCAGCTATGCTAGGAATTGGTCAGTTGACTCTGTCTTCAACCACGTACACAGTAAGCGCTGGTCAGACCACCTTGGTAACCGATTCAAGATAGTCTTCAGCGAGTTTCCTGTCCGCTTAGATGACCAACCAGCCCGCATCCGGCAGGCCGCACGTTTCCAGTTTGACATGACTGTCAGTACGCTACGGCCGCTTGCAAATGCATCCTTAGAGGACCCTGTTGTATTACCCTGTGTTACCCGCATGTCCGACGTTGCTGTTGATAAATGTTCTGGAAATAAGCGAGCATTACAGCAATACTCAACTAATTATAGGTTATTTTAACAATGATGGTCAGGCATGCGAATGCTTACTATTAATAAGGCAACTGCTAAAACATGACGAAACTAATTTGCTCAGACCTGTGCACAATCTGTAGCTCTTTAACACTATACGAAGCAAACGTTTAGCATGCAGATGTTTATAAATTTTGATGATATCGTGCTTCTACTTTATCTCTTATCTACAGCCAATTAAACCACCCGCAATTTTTTTAGATGAAACAAAATAAAACCCTCGGAAAACAACCCCAGAAGAAGCGCTTTCCGTGATCTTCATCCAGTTATCTTTGAAAAACACAGTAGAGCTAGGGACTCCTTGTCGATCCGAACAGTGCCAGAAAGCATTGTTCTCCGTAGGATGGTTGCGCTTCTACTCAAGAATCTTCATCATGTCTTCTCTCGTAAAATTATGGGTTGAATATTCCAATGTTAACGCATTGCACCGAGCACTGCGAACAACTATTCTCGATGAAGCCTCGATCGGCAAATACAAGTGTGAATAGACGATTAGCATGAAAACGGTTTAGGCAGTAAAGCGCGCGGCAAAAAGGGGGTGAAATCACTCAGCCGGGATCGGTTATGAGCTGTAGTTGATCGAGCAAGGCAGAGTTATTCTTTCCACGCGGCAATTTGGATGGCAAATTTGACCAGTGTAGTCCAAGGGGGCTCTCCTCTGTTGTTAAGACTGCGTCTTGTTTAGCAGCTATCGAGAGATTTGTTGGCAACTGATACATCACTACTTAGTCGCATTAATCCGACTCGCTTGTCCGGTTCCACTGCATGAGGACATGCGCTCATCAACTCCTAGAAATAGGTGTTGAGTCATCTTATGTTGTAAATGGGTGGCACCAAGGATTGTTTCCGTCACTCACCAGTGAGATTCTCTTCTCAGGACAGAAACAACACCAAGGTTTATTATGGAACTCATTCCCCCTGTATTTCATCTTAGCATGATCTTTGCCGGTTGAGGTGAAAACAAACGTTCCTAGAATATTTAGTTAGCGCATTTATTCTTTGAACCGTGGTCAATAAATTGACCGCGTTTACGTCTAGGTAAAAGAGGTTTAGAGTAGTTTTCTGAAAGGGTTAATCATGCGTCTGGTTTACTGACTTGAGTCTGCTAGGAAGGAACCCATTGTCACTGGAAAAATGTAACAAGAGGTTGGAACTATCAACCAACGAAATAGAGTCTTCCGTATTTTACTTTGGTGTAAACGAGAGACCCTAGTGAATTCTCTCTTTATGACACTTTGATTCAGTTTCCGATGGAATTCCGATGGGGGAATTGATAAGTTTTCAGTCAATCACATGAGTTATGTATTACACCGAGAGAATATGCTTGGAAACCTGTACTACATGAGGGGGTCTTTACGCACCACAGTAAGTTGGAGAAAGTCACAGACGATTCTTTTCAGTAATCCGTTAATATCAATCCAATTTGCAGACGAGTGTATTTTGTCCATTGCCTACAGCAGGTTGTTCAACTGGAACAAATGATTGGGAGAAGCCCTGAGGCAGCACCTAGGCGATGGACCCAATAGTGGCGGAACTGGTCATGGACGGAAGAATGATTTTCAGATGCTTTGTAAGTAGTTTGATACGTTAAAAACTATCAAATGTGTTGTACTATTGGTAAACAACCGGTGACCTTGAGAAGATGAATAAGAGGAAATTTACTGTATATGTGCGGTTTCTATCAATGTGGTGTGAACACCTGTTATAGCAAGCAGGAACTGGTGGAAATACTAGATGTCTACGATAGCTTCTAACCAGACAACATTTAGACATCCCCTGCAACAGTGTCTTGATGATTATGCCTCAACTTTGTTATACGATCGCGTGCAGCACATCGATTTTCTTTCCGATCTATCGGACAGGAAACAGCCGAATATTCGAATCCTGTTGAATCATGAGAAGAGTTGACCGGTAGCCTGCGCCACCCGTCCTGCCCTAACTCGAATTTATCAGCATGGCGTCAGTTCTGTTGTAACACTCTAAAAAGTTTCAGACCAAAGTAGGGACGACTAAACAGCCCATTTTGTTGGTCCTCGGTAGACAGCTCAGTTTCTCAAACAAAACATATCCAATGCATATCCTAATGACGTACCCTGGATAGCCGTGATTTGATTAACTGTGACCAAAGATAGTGGCCACTGTGTCATTACTACTGGCTATGCACACCGAGGTATTCAACACCTCCGGGTTAACCGGCTACAGGCCTGGATGATGTAGACCATTTTTTGTACTCTCGGTTTACTTTTCAGGTAGTCTGTTGGTCTTCGTCGCCGTTAAGATGAAACTGTATCCAGAGGTGGTGAACTATTTTAAATTTATTAGCAAGACAATGGTTACTATAAGCATCATCTAGGGTTATCGCGAGCATCATTGGACAGAAAAAATAACCATTCTTATTTCGCATTTATCGCAGTTAGCTGTGAAACTGTTTTTTTCATTTATCGAGTTAGTTGTAAACTGTTTTTTTTTAAATTTCATTTATGCCATGTCAAGCCGACCAGCACAAACGTCATCCTGTGAGAACTAGTTAGCCCTACGATTGATTCCAATACACTGAGGATCCCGTCACACCTTATAGACTTCGGCTTTTTTCTTTCTGCTGCAATGATGAGAACCATATCGAATAAACCCACTGCACACGGTCCTGTTCTGTGCTTATGCCTCACAGTTCATATGATTCAAGTTGTTCACCCCCATATCGTCGACCAGGGCATGCAGTAACAGTCATCTCTGGTAGCCCGGATTCTGGCTGTTCCGTTGTTCATATAACATCCGATACGTAATTCTCT